GCATCTGTTACCCTTATAAGTTCAATAGATTTTGGTGCAAGATCATTGCTTCATGTGATGATGATTCTTATTTTGATATTGTTGGATTATAACCCTAGATTTGGCACTGTACTTGTCTCTCTAGTTTACCAGATTTGTTAGCTCAATATGGTTTGCGTATTAAATGGTTATAGAATCTTTAATCATAGGAAGGTAACTGTCATATCCTAAGAATGTTTTCATGTCTCTTTTTGTAGAATTATGTTGCTTTGAAGATTCAGAAGAGCGCACAACAGTTTGCTCAAGCTGCACTTCACGAAATCGAATTTCTTTCAGCTGCTGCTGATGGAGATCTCGCCAATACGAAATGTGTTGTTCGTCTTATTGACCATTTCAAGCATACTGGTCCAAATGGGCAGCATTTATGTATGGTGCTTGAGTTTCTTGGCGATAGCTTGCTCCGTTTAATCAGATACAACCATTACAAAGGTCTGAAAATAAATAAAGTCCGGGAGATTTGCAGATGTATACTGACTGGTTTAGATTATTTGCACCGTGAGCTCGGTATGATTCACTCCGACTTAAAACCTGAAAACATTCTTCTTTGTTCCACCATTGACCCTGCCAAAGATCCCGTTAGATCTGGACTAACCCCACTATTAGAAAAGCCAGAGGGAAACGCAAACGGTGGTGGATCCTCTATGAATCTGATTGAGAAGAAGCTAAAGAGAAGAGCAAAAAGAGCGGTTGCTAAAATATCAGAAAGAAGAGTCTCAATGGTGGGTGCTACAGGTGAAGAAGCATCATCGAAGACAGAAAGAAGTCTTGATGGGATTGATATGAGATGCAAAGTGGTTGACTTTGGTAACGCTTGTTGGGCTGATAAACAGTTTGCGGAAGAGATACAAACGAGACAGTATAGAGCTCCTGAAGTAATACTTAAGTCAGGATACTCTTTCTCTGTTGATATGTGGTCTTTTGGTTGTACGGCTTTCGAGCTTGTCACAGGAGATATGCTATTTGCTCCTAAAGATGGAAATGGTTATGGAGAAGACGAGGTAAGATCTTAATCTAACCTCAAGAGTTTGCTGCTTCATTGTTTTTTCCTGATTTCTTATACGTTTTTGTTATCTGGTTTTGGATTTAGGATCATCTTGCTCTTATGATGGAACTCCTAGGAAAGATGCCTCGAAAGGTATGTGTTTTTTTGCTTTCCCACTGTGTTTTCTCGGTTTATAGTCTCCTTTTGATATACTTGATTGAGCAGATTGCGATTGGAGGGGCGAAATCCAAAGACTACTTTGACAGACACGGGGATTTGAAGAGAATCCGGCGGTTGAAGTATTGGCCACTTGATCGCTTGCTGATTGATAAATATAAGCTTCCGGAAGCAGAAGCAAAGGATTTTGCCGAGTTTCTGACTCCGATTCTTGAGTTTGCGCCAGAGAAACGACCAACTGCTCAACAGTGCTTGGAACATCCATGGATGAATGTAACAACACAGGACAACGCAGATAATGTAGATGCCCAAATGAACAACTTGCAGATCAAAGGGTGAGAGAAACTCAAACTACTTCTTTGTTTCATTCCTTTGTTCATTTTCTTTTAATATAACTTTCTTCTTCTTTTTATATCTTTTTTTTGTTTTGTTTTGTATAATTGTTCTTTACTTTTTGGAGACCTATGATATATTGATTAACCATCGATTTCATTTGTTGCTTATAAAGAATGTCTATGTAGTGATGAGATTGACTAACAAAGATGTTGCATATTCTTGTTTAGACTTTGAATTTTGAATTTTCTTTTGGTTTGTTTTGATATTATTGTTAGATGTCACTTGGTTTGGGTTTAAATCAAATTTGGTTTTGGGTTTGTATCGGTTGGGAGACCTTGTACTCCCTCTGTTTCTTATTAATGTATTTTTTAGGTTTTTCACTCATATAAAAAAAAGATGATAAAAATTGATAATAAATCAATTATTTGTTGTGGTTAACAATTTTTCATAATTTTAAACTAATAGTATTCAATTATTTATTTTGAAATCTACATTTTATTAATTTCTAACTAACAAAAATGCATAAAAACTTTAAAAAATGTATTTTTGCAACATTTTAAACAAATAGTTTTATAAAAAAATTTGGTAATCTAGTTCTTTCAGAATTTTAAATTTATGAATTACATGTTAATGATAGTTCCAATAATTTACATGTTAGTATGTCTAAATAGAAAAATTTGTTATTTATGTGATCTTTTAATGATAGTTCCTTTTTTTTGTTGTCCATTAATCCGTTAAATTTTCTTGTCAAAATATGAAAGTTTCTGTCGGTTGTTTTTGTCAGCGTCATGTAGATATAGTGCAGTTACTTTATACTTTATTGACTCTCATTTAGGAAACCTGGTCAAATACAAAATGAAGTTCCGATTTTAGATATGTCATTGTCAACGTATTTATTCAAGTAATAAATTAACGTTCTATAGAATTAGAAACCAAAGTACCCTAAATGGCGAAACTGAAATTTCGTAGCCATATAAACTGAAAAATAAAAATTACCTAGTTATTAGTAATTTTGAAAAGCGACATGGCCAGATGGTTTTAACTTTCAGACCACATGTGACGTACATGACTTAGCAGCTTTGTCTTTAGAGATTTGCGTATACTTGTGTGTCACACGTTCCATATCAGCACGTGGATCTACACGTGACACCCTGTATCCAATCGTTGAATCCACAAAATATTTTTTTCTACGTAATTTTCTTATTAACGAGTAATTGTTTCTTAGCAAATAAAAAAAAAATGGATTCAATGAAGAAAAAACTTATCATTCAACAAAAAAAATACATCACTTTATTGCATCTATTAATCCAAAATATCAAACTTTCTTCTACACAACTGCAATTGCAAATAAACCCATATATGTATTATGTATATATTTAACAATATATAACATAAATTCAAACACACCCAAAAAAGGAAACAACAATCTGATTCTTCTACTGAAAATGGCAATGCTGACCAAATCTTGAAAAAAAGAGTCATTTTTTCTGTAGACACTATGATCGTACGGCTTTGTTCTGCTTCACGCATTCTGGTGCCTTAAGGTCCTGGCATTTCCAAGAGGACGATCCCGGTATGACCGTTATCGCACCACTGTCCTCCTGCGGCTGAGCCACCGGTAATGGAGACGCGGAGGAAGTTCCATTTTCATGATTTCTAGAATTACAAATGCTCAAAGGAAGCTTCTTTAGCTTCACTACTCTTCCTCTTCTTTTAACCAATGAGTTATTTTCTTCCCCTGCTTTCTCCATCATCAGTCTTGAATCCACTTCATTCCTGTTTGATCTAGCTATCTCTAATCCTTCATACGAGCTGTCTGAATCTACGACTCCAGCAATGTCATTCATAGAACCGGTCACTACAATACTACTACTCCCACCTTCAACTACGGTCTTGTTCTTCTTCTGCTTCTTGTATCTCTGACCATTCTCCTCGAATCCCGAGCAAGTTCTCAAGACTCTAGGGTATGTATTGCCTATAGCTCGATGCAATCTACGCGCTAAATCATCGTCCTCGTCTCTTAGCTGTCCCTTTGAATACAAGAGCTCGACGGGGACATGTTTCTTCTGCTTGTTCTTCTTAGGAGACCTCTCCTTGCAATCAGCCATTGCTTCTTTAGGGAAAGAATCAACCAATTCCAGTGCCCTTTTAGCCGCAGCAATCGCCTTTGCGGAAATCAAAGCCTTCTCGTTCGCAATAGCTCTGGCCGCCTTTGCAGCTTTAACCGCTAAAGCAGCTGCAGATCTCGTTGCCTCCACGAGCTCTTCCGGTGACTGGTCATTGTTGAAACGGGATGATAGCAAGTTGTCGAGATGGGTCTGAACATGGGTGGAAGCAGAGGAAGATCCGTTTGAGTTTGAAGTAGAGGAAGAAGAAGCGAAATCTGAAGGAAAAGATCCATCGCCGTTGGAGTTTAGTTTCTTGAATCCAGCAAGTAATCGCTTTCGAGGAGGGAGATGCGAATCGGAATCGAGCTGATTCATGTCAGACGGATTCGTCTCCATTATAAATCAGCTAAAAACCCAAATCTGAGAAACAAGAACACGAAGTTGCGTCTTAATATCGGATTAAAATGGATCGGAATTCGAATTATAGATGAGATCAGCTCGATGAGAACTCTAGGGAACAAATCAGAGTAAAATACATCACGAGTCAGCTGAATCATTCAGATTACCAAAAAACAAAAAAAAAAAACAATTCCGTTTCATTAAAGATCGATACTTTAAGCAATCGTGAAGAAAGTAATATAAATCGATCCTTAAAACCCATAATCAAATATGCATCCCCAAAATCACACAATTTAACAAGAAAATAAGCAAAATTTTTGACAAGAAGAGCTGAATTACTCGATCACAAGGTGATCGATGAAGAAAGGAATAACGCAGCATTGAAAGAAGAAGAATCATAAATCACATGTATAAAACAAAATTTTAAAAACAGAGTACACGATGAACAACAGAACAAGCAATTCGGTTTTACCTTGGCGTTTCCTTAGAGTATTGAATTGTCGTAGTTTTGAAGTTACCTTATCATTTGGGAAGAAAAAGAGAGAGAGAGAGAGAGAGAGAGGAAGATGAGAAAAGGAAATTAGGGTTTGCAGAGAGAAAGGAGGAGGAGGATGAAGAAGACAAGAGAATTTTGTTCCAATTTCATTTTTATATGTAAACCCTACAAATCAACTCTTTGTTTCTTTTCTTTTTTTCTTTCTCTTTTAAATTAATGTAATTAATTATCACATAATTTTGTAATTTTGATTGACATTTGTTGTTTTTTTTTTACAGTTATCTCTTCCATGACAACAACCTTACTTAGAAAATTAAACAGCTGGTCTCATGCTTTCCGTTATTATTACACATCTCCGTCTAACTATAATAACGGCCGTCATTTATTTCCCCTCTTTCTTCACGGAGTTACTTTTTTTGGATCGGATTTCATTTTTATTACATAGAAAAGGGTCAAACATGATTCGATCTTCTGTCTTAAAAGAGAGAGTTATACTTGAAGGATCTGTATCAGAATTTTAGATCATGTAATCGAGATATACAAAGGGAACTACCTTATTATTTGACGTGTTATAGAATTTATGGTGGATGGATATCAAAGCAACGTGGTTGATCCAAGATCTTAGTTTGGGCCTTTGGGAAAAAAAAGAAATCGACAAAACAATTAAAATTAATCTGATAGATTTATGCTCATTAGTCCCTACTTTGGTGAAAATTAATATGTTTGGCAGAGATAGTCAACTTCACCATCCACTTGCCGTGCCATATCATTCTCAAATCTCAATAGAGCCCAAAAAAAAGTTAATGAAATCATTTTATACAAAGAAATTTATCGAATTATTACATCGTAATTATCAACAGTCTGACCAAAAAATATCATCAATAATGTAGAGAAAATTTTTACCAAAAAAAAAAAAAACAATGTAGAGAAAAGATATCAACAACACCTTTGAATTTTTTTTAGAAAGGATAGGATGTTCAATAATTTGGATACTGATTACGTATATTTTAATCTTGTGGCTTCTCTTTAAACGGCAAAAATTATGTGTGTTGTGTTTTGTATGAAATAAAACTTAACAGGGAAAAAAAGCTTTAAGGTGGTTAGAAATATAAATATGATGTATATACAACCAAAAAACACAAAACGCTGTCGTTTAACTAAACCCTAACCCCCAATTTCCGATTTTCCCTCCAGTTGCTAAACCTTTCCCGTTAAGAGCGAGTGAGATTATGGTGCGAAAGGCGATGCCTTTTTCTCAGTCTCATGTCTAATGGCGATAATCAGCTTCGCAATTTCCAGTAATTGATACCCGCGGGAGTTTCTTCTTGGGTTTAGGGTTTTTGTTTCTCGGTGTTTCAGTCTGATAATTCGGAGATGAAGACGATCAAGCCATTACCCGAAGGTGTTCGTCACTCCATGCGCTCCGGGATCATCATGTTCGACATGTCGAGAGTCGTGGAGGAAATCGTGTTCAACAGTCTCGATGCTGGTGCGACCAAGGTCCACAAAATCAATTTCCCCCTTTCTTCGATTTCTTCTGGTTTTGGAATTCTGCTTATCGATAACTCTATTTTCAGGTGTCTATCTTCGTGGGTGTTGTTTCATGCTCTGTCAAAGTTGTGGATGATGGTGAGTATAGCTTCAAAATCATTACTTTTACCTTTGTGCTAATCATTGAATCCTAATCTGGAAATATTTCACTGATTTTGGTTTTCAGGATCAGGCGTTTCAAGAGATGATTTGGTTTTGTTGGGAGAAAGATATGGTAAGTTCTGGCTCTCTTTTTTTTGTTTTGTTTTGTTATATGTTAGTTTTATGCGGAGAAACTTATCATGAGCAATTTGTAAAAACAGCTACTTCAAAGTTTCACGACTTCACCAATGTGGAGACAGCTGGTGAAAGTTTTGGATTCCGTGGAGAGGCCTTAGCTTCAATATCAGATATCTCGTTACTGGAGGTTAGGACAAAAGCTATTGGGAGGCCTAATGGTTATCGAAAGGTTATGAAGGTATGGGATGACTTTGATGCAACTCAACACTCCTACATTGTTTGTCTGTCGTTGGTTATGGGTTTAAACTTCTGAAAATGCTTTTCAGGGATCCAAGTGTCTACATCTAGGAATTGATGATGACAGAAAAGACTCTGGCACGACGGGTAATGTGTCTTCTGTCATCATTGCTTTTTCTAATATGCTTACCAATTGTGAAAGTGAAGCCTTAAGTACAATTTTCATAAACTATTTGTGCTATACGATATAGAAATGTGTTTGCTTTATTTTTGGCTAACATTGGCACATGCATGATTAACATCTGATCTTGCCCTGGTTGATGCAGTAACTGTCCGAGATCTATTTTACAGTCAGCCAGTTAGACGAAAATATATGCAATCCAGGTTCATTTCTTAGACACTTACTTTTTAGAGTAAGACATCTGGATTTTAACCTATCTTCGCCTTGTCTGAATTTTTTATGAATGCGACCATGTTTTTTTTTCTTTTTGCAATGGAAGCCCCAAGAAAGTTTTGGAATCTATCAAAAAGTGTGTGTTCCGGATTGCCCTTGTGCACTCCAATGTTTCCTTCAGTGTTCTTGATATCGAAAGGTGGGTTCCTACTTTCATTTTAAGGTCTTTATGAAATCAGCCCTTCTGATAGTTTCCTTGTTACAGTGATGAAGAGCTTTTCCAAACCAATCCTTCTTCTTCAGCATTCTCACTACTGATGAGAGATGCAGGGACCGAGGCTGTAAATTCGCTTTGTAAAGTAAACGTTACAGATGGCATGCTGAATGTCTCTGGGTATGTATCTGGTCCTGGAGATAGTTTCAAGGTAGGTTACTTGCTCCACTTATGGGCTTCAAAATTATCTCCCTTGTTTGTCAGATTGTAACTTTGAGCCTTACCTTTCTGAATTATTGTGGTACTTTCCTTGCAGGCCTTGCAGTATATATGTATCCATATTTCTGCATCTTTTTATGTGTGACTATACATTAACTATCTTCTGAAGTTTAGTTAGGCAGTTTCTGTATATGGTTGTATGGCCTTCACAGCGACAGATATCAATTCAAGATTCATTAGCAAAGGTCCTATTCATAAGCTGCTGAACAACTTGGCTACTAGTTTTGAGTGTGCGGATGACTGGAAGCCTACGGATGGGCAACAAACAGGAAGACGCAATAGACTTCAATCCAATCCTGGTTACATTTTGTGCATAACATGTCCACGCCATCTTTATGAATTCTCGTTTGAACCATCAAAGACGCATGTTGAGTTCAAGGTATTAGATTTCATTTGGATCTAAATTTAGGTAGATTTTTTTTTCTTATAATGATTGTGAATATTTCTATCTGTGGCAGAAGTGGGGACCTGTACTTGCCTTAATAGAAAGAATCGTTCTAGCCAGCTGGAAGAAAGATAGAAATCTTGGTATGCCACACTTTTCTCAATCTCTGATAGTATCCCTAATATTTTTTATGGGGTTTTCAATGTATTTATTACGTTTTTTTCTTAGAACTTTTTGGTGGGGGAGCTGATCTACTGGCCCAAGGTGATAGACAAGACCTGATTGATAACAAAATTAGACTTCAAAACGGTAAGTTTTTCAAAATGTTACATTATATAGCATTAATTCTTCTATATTGGAACGGGCAGTATTTATTGTTTGTCCCTTTGACATTCCTAGTCGCTCTTTTCTCAATTCTTCGTTTTTCTGGATGAAGATTGGCCCGAAGCTATGGAACCTACAAAAAAGAAGCTGAAGAGAAGTAATGATCATGCACCTTGTAGTTCTGTATTGTCTCCGTCTGCTGAGTTTAAAAGAGATGGTGATTATTTTTCTCAAGGAAAGGATGTATGGTCTCCACAATATGAAGTTGAACTGAAAATTCAGAGTCCCAAAGAGCAAGGTACTGTAGCTGGATTTGAAAGCCGGACTGATTCTCTTCTACAGTCACGTGACGTAGAAATGCAAACGAATGAAGACTTCCCACAAGTTACTGACCTCCTGGAAACAAGCGTGGTTACTGACTCTAAGTGCCGCAAACAGTTTCTAACAAGATGTCAGATTACCACTCCTCTCAATATCAACCATGATTTTATGAAAGATTCAGACGTATTAAATTTTCAGTTTCAAGGATTGAAAGATGAGTTGGATGTCAGCAATTGCATTGGAAAGCATCTCTTGCGTGGTTGCTCTTCAAGAGTAAGCCTAACCCTTCATGAGCCTAAACTATCTCATGGTGAAGGGTCTGAATCCGTCATGCCTATGATACTTAATGAAAAACAAAGTAGTCCGCGGGTCCTAGAGACCAGAGAAGGTGGTTCTTACTGTGATGTTTTCTCTGATAGGACTCCTAATTGTTCCCTAGGGAGTTCATGGCAGGATACTGATTGGTTTACTCCACAGTGTTCCTCAGATATGGGAAGTGTTGGAATTGGAAAAGATTCTAACATTATCCCCATAGGTACTGCGGAGTTTGGTTCTTATGAAGACAAAGTTGGCAGAGAAAAGTATCATTCTTATGTCAATGTGGGGAACTCTGTTACTGGTAGTTTCTCTTTGAGTTCTGAGTGGTCTCCAATGTTCTCCACACCTTCTGCGACCAAGTGGGAATCTGATTACCAGAAAGGTTGTCGAATTCTTGAACGGAGTTTGAGGCTGGGAAGGATGCCCGACCCTGAATTTTGTTTCAGTGCCGCTAACAACATCAATTTTGATCACGAGGTCATACCTGAAATGGATTGCTGGAAAACCGGTGCAGATTCGTTCACAGATATTCAGAACAGCATTAAGTCAGATGAAATTTTTTGTAAGTCTTCGTGGGAGCATGCAGATGATGTTGGTATTGAACAATATAGTATCAGAAAGGACAAGTTCAGTTATGGCACACAGTATCATGTTGGTAAACAAAGGTCAAAAAGAAGCCGATCTGCTCCTCCATTTTGTCGAGAGAAAAAGAGATTTATCAGCTTAAGTTGTATATCAGACACAAAATCAAAGAACTCTGATCCATCAGGTCTGGTCTTTTTTAAGATGTTGTTATTTTGTTGCTACTGTTGTTTTAGTTTTGGGAATGTGGTATAGAAGATATTAATGAGGTCTAACTTTCTGCAGAACCTGATGATCTGGAGTGTTTGACACAACCTTGTAATGCATCTCATATGCATCTTAAGTGCAACATCCTTGATGACAACATACAAGAAACAGAAAAAAGATTGAGTTCTGCCTCAGACTTGAAAGCATCTGCTGGTTGCAGGACTGTGCACTCAGAGACCCAAGATGAGGATGGTGGCGAAGGTAATTTATCTTATTTTAGCTGTATGTCTCTTTATTTGAATAATCATCTCCAAGACACTGCTACAAAAGGGTAGACATTATATTTTTGCATATCTCCCAGGTCGCTGTAGACTGTAGTTGTCAGTCAAAACGTGCTCCTTGACAAGTTTGGTATATAAGAGTCTTTCTTTTTTTTTTCTCCCCTCTTCCATCTGGAGTATTTAAGTATGTCATCTATCTCGCAGACTTCAGCTCAGAGGAAAATCTGGATCCAATTAAATCCACAACGAAATGGCGCCATAACTGTGCGGTCTCTCAGGTTACGCAAATTGAAAGGGTTTGTTTTTGCCAAACAGAATGACTTTCCGTTTCCATCCATGGAAGACAATTGAGCATCCATAATATTTTTCATTGTTGTGCAGGTTGGCAAGGAATCACACGAGCTTCATGATCAAGATAGTGTACTTGATATATCTTCAGGACTTTTGCACCTACGATCCGATGAATCCTTGGTTCCCGAATCTATTAACAGACACTCCCTTGAAGATGCCAAGGTTCTACAACAGGTTGATAAAAAATATATCCCAATCGTTGCCTGTGGAACAGTTGCCATCGTTGATCAGGTTCATCCTATATCATCTCTTCCGTCTCATTTATTTGAAATTCTAGAAACTTATCTGTAGATGGTTGAGGATTATGTTCAAACTAAGACGCCATAAGTTGTAGAAACTATTGCTCTTAATAAATTTCTTGCTACAAGTTGATCTGAGGGTATAATTTCTTACAGCATGCTGCCGATGAAAGAATTCGTTTGGAAGAGCTGCGTAAAAAGGTAAGAGCATCTTGGAATCTCAAGTTCATGGAACTACTTTTATAATGTTTCCTAGTTTGAATAATAGTGTTCTTCTAATCAACTGATAAAACAATAAAAATATATAGGTCCTGGCTGGGAAAGCAAGGACAGTCACCTACTTGAGTGCAGACCAAGAGTTGGTACGTTTGAACATGATATTAGATAATAGATAAAATCATCTGCTCGACTTGATCAGAGTTCTCGACTCTGGCTCAGTTTATTAATGATGCATCATTAATTTTTTTATGTTGATATTAAAGGTACTGCCGGAGATGGGTTATCAGTTACTTCAGAGTTATGCAGAGCAGATAAGAGACTGGGGTTGGATCTGCAACATTAATGTAGAAGGGTCAACGTCCTTTAAGAAGTAAATTACTTTTTTTTTTTCCTTTTTCTTAACTATATGATAATACCTGATGATCATATATGAGGCCGTATATGCAGTTATGTGTTTTAGATTGGGCCTCGTGATTGATTGTTTCCCTTTTCTACAGAAACATGAGCATCATCCAGCGGAAATCAACACCAATCACACTTAATGCGGTAAGGCAACTAGTCTCTACCTCTTTCATTTCACTTACTGCTTTTGCCAGTTAAAAGAGATTCTATATATACTCACTTGAATAATCACTCTGTTTACCCCACTTGTAGGTTCCATGCATTCTGGGTGTAAATCTATCAGATGTTGATCTATTAGAGTTTCTTCAGCAGGTACACTTAGAATCGTGTATACGCACATGGCTAATCTTTTCTTTTTCGTACTTTGAATTCTTACTCAATTGTTGCAAAACCAGCTTGCTGATACTGACGGATCATCAACAATTCCTCCATCTGTTCTTCGGGTCCTAAATTCCAAAGCCTGCAGAGGTATATTCCCGATCTCTCCAGAATTGTTTTGTATGTGCAAGGATGAGTTAGTGGCTACAATTCATCACTTAGTTTCTCGGCTGATTCTGTGTTTTCTTACAACTGCTAAGGTGCAATTATGTTTGGAGATTCTCTGTTACCGTCAGAGTGCTCTTTAATCATTGATGGACTGAAGCAGACTTCACTTTGTTTCCAGGTGCGTAAGAAACATCAAATCTTACCAAAGGAATTCATGTTTAATCAAATTAACCCATTAAAGTCTGTGTACAGTGTGCTCATGGGAGACCTACAACAGTTCCTCTAGTCAATTTGAAGGCATTGCACAAACAGATAGCAAAGCTCAGTGGTAGACAAGTGTGGCATGGCTTCCAACGCAGAGAAATTACACTTGATCGTGCTAAGTCACGCTTAGACGAAGCTAAAAGCTGAAAAAGTTGCAGCTGTATCACAGCCTTCTCAGGTTGCTATACTCTTAGTCTTAGTCATACTGTAAATGTATAGTTGTATAGGTTGATACCAAGCTTGAGTTTGAAGGGTGATATAACTCATTGTATGTACTCTTTGCATTATATACAAAATCTTATTAGTTTTCATATATCATTATGTAAAATTTAGTATTAAAACAATAAAATTAAAAAGAAAATACAAAAAAAACCCTTTAAAAATCAATATAGAAAATATCAAAATTTTAAAAACTTGAATACTAAAATCTACATAACGATGATGTGAAAACAAGTTGAATATTTGGAATCTCAAACGACTAATGCGGGATCCAAAATCCGGTTAGTTTCATATATCATTATGTAAAATTTAGTATTAAAACAATAAAATTAAAAAAAAAAACACAACGAAAAAATCCTTTTAAATCCGAATAGAAAATAGCAAAATTTTAAAAGCTATTTTTAAAATTCGAATTAAAAACTTAAATACCAAAATATACATAAAGATGATGTGAAAACAATTGAATATTTGGAATCTTTAACGATTAATGCATGATCCAAAATCCAGTTAGTTTTAAAAAATCATTACGTAAATTTAATATAAAAACAATAAAAATTTTTTAAAAAAACACAAAAAAACTTTAAAAATCCGAATAGAAAATATCAAAATTTAAAAATTTGTAAAAAAATAAATAAAAATCATTGTATTTAGTGGGAAAACATCAAAATATTGATTCAAAAAAAGGGAATCAAAATCTTTTATTTAACCTTCGAACATTAAAGCTTACGGACCAAAATCTTTCCCACCGTAGTTCGACTCCACTAAGTCGCGTTACCCCGCGTAGTATAGATTGGCTATGTCTCGGGTCTTCTCGATTCAAAGATGTCCAAAAAATAAAAAATTATGGACCAACTAAGGACAAAATGCTTAGGCTCGGTTAGTTTTCGACGTTATTAAAATTTAACACTTACATTAATTTTTTAAAAAGTAATAGTAAAATTAACATAGTTTTGATTAAAAACATTATTTTCTTAAAGTTTAAGTGTTAATTTTGTTTTAAATTTTAGTGGAAATAATTATTAATTTTTAAAAATGAGTTTAAGTGTTGAATCTATATTACGTGAAAATATGCCGAACTTCGTATACCAAAGCTTACGGACCAACTAAGGACAGGATGCCTAGGCGCTGTTAGTTTTCGACGTTTTTAAAATTTAACATTTAAAATAATTTTTTAAAAATAATAATGAAATTAACATGGTTTTGGTTAAAAGCATTATTTTCTTAAAGTTTAATTGTTAAATTTGTTTTAAATTTTAGTGGAAATCATTATTAATTTTTAAAAATGAGTTTAAGTGTTAAATCTATATTACGTGAAAACATGCCGAACTTCGAACACCAAAGCTTAAGGACCAACTAAGGACAAGATGCCTAGACGCGGTTAGTTTTCGACGTTTTTAAAATTTAACACTTAAACTAGTTTTTAAAAAGTAATAATGAAATTAACATGGTTTTGGTTAATAATTTTCTTAAAGTTTAAGTGTTAAATTTGTTTTAAATTTTAGTGGAAATCATTATTAATTTTTAAAAATGAGTTAAGTGTTAAATCTTTATTACGTGAAAACATGCCGAACTTCGAACACCAAAGCTTACAGACCAACTAAGGACAGGATGCCTATGCGCAGTTAGTTTTCTACGTTTTTTGAATTTAACACTTAAACTCATTTTAGAAAAGTAATAATGAAATTAACATGGTTTTGGTTAATAATTTTCTTAAAGTCTAAGTGTTAAATTTGTTTTAAATTTTAGTGGAAATCATTATTAATTTTTAAAAATGAGTTTAAGTGTTAAATCTATATTACGTGAAAACATGACGAACTTCGAACACCAAAGCTTACGGACCAATTAAGGACAGGATGTCTAGGCGCGGTTAGTTTACGACGTTTTTAAAATTTAAAACTTAAACTAATTTGTAAAAAGTAATAATGAAATTAACATGGTTTTGGTTAATTATTTTTTTTAAAGTTTGAAGTGTTTATTTAAAATTTTAAATAATTAATATTTTTGAAACCCTAAGTTTAATTTTTTTAACTAACAGTTAAGTTTTTAAAACTAATTTAATATTTAAACTAATCTTAAAAAAAAAAGGGAAACAAAAACAAAAATAAGAAAGGAGAATGTAGTACCTTGTTGGATTTGGTAGTATAGAAGGCCCCATACAAAAAGGCCCATTCCAAAGTGAGATTTGAGCTGAAGCTACGGTACAACAACCATGGCTTTAGACTACGATGGCTTTAGACTACGAGTCGTCTGCTGGTGCTGAAGCTACGGTACAACCATCAGGAATCTGCAAGAAACACAACACAAGTTTTAGGACTACAGACCTCAAACATCTCTAACTACTTTGAACAGTTAATATTGATTAAGTTGTTTTTCTTTACCTGGGCCATATACAGAACTCTTGATGTATGACCAGTGAGCTCAGCCATTTTCACCATGGATGGATCATACTTCCAAAGTGTGAGCTGATTCTGTGTAAACCCGTGTGAGCTAAGCAACTCTGTTTCATTCTTGCTCCATAACAAAGAACAAACTTGAGAGCCAGTGTCTACTGAATTCAAGCAAGCCCCTGTGTGAGTGTTCCAGAATTTTATCTTCCTATCTCCTCCACCACCACGCAAACAAATTCGCAGCAGATGTATATTGCTCAAGCCTGTGCAGCCATTGCGTAGTTGAGTTTGAGCTAGCAACAGAAGGATCCCATATGTGGAACACATTGTCGTTGCCTACTGTTGCTAGTTGCTGTCCAGATCCTGACCACTTGAGACCACAAACCTCTTGTAAGTCTCTACAATCCTCACATCATTGTTGATGATCAGTCCATTCTCTTGGCCATCGTCTTCCTCGCATCCGTCTCCGTCGTGTAATCATCTCCTTCGTCGCCGTCGGAAGAATCCTCCGGTGAAAGCGTTTCGGTGGCTGAGATATTTATTAGGGAGACACGAACTAAAAATTGAACTCGATTGATTGAAGATGTTGTCACGAGAGATCGAAAGAACATCAGTGATCAGTCTCGCAGAGCTTTAATCGACAAGAGAAATTGCAGGTCTCAAAAGAAAGAAGAAGAAGAAGGTGAAAGATTGATTTTTTGTTTTTTGATTTCTCAACGAAGAAGAAGATATGAGTATTTATAAGCAAAGGTTCCAAAACAACCAAAAAGGAAACTTTGGTTATTTCCTTTTTCCTAGACCCACTAGTTTCTGATATTTCCTTTTCTTTTTCTTTTTTTTCATGTTTTGCGAAAAAAGGAAATTGCTTAAGGTTAGAAAAGTCACGTTACCGTTACAACATTCATATTTTTTTTACTGTGTAACAACAATCTATCAAGGTAAAATATTTGATGTTTGGTTGAGTGACTGTTGAAACAGAGCATTCTTTAAAGTTTAAACAGAGAATGGAAGATTAGGTAGTTTCTGTATATGGTGACGCTTAGATGAAACTATAAGCTGAAAAATGTTGCGCATGTATCATCAAGCCTTTTGATGCCATAGACTCGGTAACTAACTACTTTCTCAATTTGCTACAATACTCGTAGACATAGTATAAAGGCTTTGCCCAAAAAAAAAAAAAAAAAAAAGTATAAAGGCTATTATAGGTAGATACTACACTAGAGTTTGCAAGCTGATATAACTCATTGTACTCTTTGCATTCGATTACAAAATAAAAGTTGCTTTGACAAACGATACATGGTCCAAAAGTTCACCAGTCAAGAGTTTTTTTCTTTTTTTAAGTCAAATTCTCCCATTACAGAACATATTGTGTGGTCATCTTCCAAACAAAACTGCCAACAGCAAGCAACAAATCTACAAGTTCTCTAATCACAACTTCAGTTAACTAGATACATCATGTTCTTCTTCAGCTATCGTTTCACTTTGGTGGTCTGTGCCGATAGCAGCACACAATGCTTTCCAAATGGGAACCAACATCTTCAATGGAGGACGCAGTTCCTGTACAAAGAGGAAATTGAACTCAAAAATCAATTGCTAAAAGTAATCTTCCCGAATTGAATTATTGGTAACTCTTGATTGTTTCTCAAAGTTGTCGGTAAAAGTTTTTCTCTCACAATGTAGTGAAACAAACTGGTGCCATTACCTTAAACACCAATGTAAGTTGTTCTTCGCCACGCAGAAATAAAGAGAGACTCCAGTAGCATGTAATGGGAGTGACACATTCGACCAACACAGGCTTCAAAATCTTGCCAACAGGGATAAACCTGGAGACAGTTTTTCCACTGCAAAGCAGAAGCATGCACAATATATTAAGTACTTGTGTGCTTGGTAAAACTTAAAAGCATAGATGAGAATAGGTCATGAAAATTATAGCAAATTCCACCATTATCTTAGACACCATTAATACAGAGTAGTTCAAAACATTAAGTCATCATGGAATGCAGACAAAAGAATACTAACTATATGGATAAAGCATACCTTAAATATTGAGTTTCAAGTTGGATCCCGAAGGTTGGCATGATTATCACATATTCTGAACAAATCAAATCAAAGAAAAGCTAGAATTAATTAAAACGTGAAGCTGATGTCATTTGGCAAGCCTGTAAAGCGTGTACAGTTATGAACCAGGATCTCACCTTTGTTGACGAACTTGCGACTTTGTAGCATAACTAAGAAACCACTTAAAAGGCAGCCCCAAGAAAGAGTTCTAACTGGATTTTCCTGTTTCATGTTAATTATCACTTTTCAATTCGAGTTTAGAAGAAATGATGGAACAACAACAAAACAAGCTTGTAATGTAACACAAACTAAGAAAAGTGCTCTTAAAACAAACCTTGTCATGCATTAACATAATGCTCAAAACATAATGAAAATATCAAACTATACTCCATCATCAATCGTAAGAAACAAAATGGTATGCCTTTCTCATAATACGCACTAGCAAAACTTGTTCTAAGCAATGCCTCAGAATTACTCAAATGTCAAGCAGATTCATACCTAAATAACAATCAGCAAAACCAAATTTCCCCTAAAAGTATGATTACCTTTCCAAGAAAAAAGTAGATAGAACTCGCCAGAAGCACAAGGAAGAAACCAATCCCCCTACGACGGGCATAACCAGTTGCTCTGCCTCCGTTGATAATCACATGATGAATGTCAATGGCTTCTCTAGTTGAGTTACTTTCACTTTCATGTATGTAAGTGTATCTCTTATTTGAAACAGACGAGCTCACCATTCGAAAGCTAGTTTAGTTGAAAAACACTCAATGTATCACCGTCGTTTACTCCAACTCATATAGGAACCTGCATAAGACTAGCTTCTCAATACCCAAGCAACAATTCTCAAACTTTTGAGTCTCAGTCAAATCAGACAGCAACAAAACTTCTCTGCGGCTTTCCGTCGAACAACACGCGTGCATTAGAAAAATCCCCGTTGAAATCCCATAAATCTCGCCAACTATTCCCCACACAATGTCCTCTAAAACACAGTAGAAATCTATCAAACAGGAAGAAGCAAGGATTATCCCGACGAGCGAAAGCCGCAATTCTTCGAATAGATCAAATCTGAAACCGGCTTCTCTTACCGGTGAAGAGAAAGAAGGCGCAACTATGGTGGAGGAGACAACAAAAAGCCAAAAGAGAGAAAATAATCCAAACTGTGTGCCGTCGTTAATATAGAAATCTAAGCGCCCTGCCGTTTTAATTTAATTCACATTAACACCTTGCCGTTTTATTTATCTCGACATTATAAAAACCTAATTTAGCTTATTTTTAAGGAAAGGTCAAATCTTTAATCTCTCGATTCGCCGGCGATCCGAATTTCATTCTTCTTCTGCTTATCGGGGGAAAAAAAAAACCTAATTTAAAGTTTGAAGCTTTAGGTTTGAATCATGCGTTGCAAGGGATGCAATAGAAGCAACTTTGTACGCGACGAAGTCACAGGGAATACGCATTGCGGTGGATGTGGGACATCACGAGAGTACGATAATTATGAGGCACACCTTGGCCCCATAGGAGGACCTCAAGGTACATTTATACGAGTAGGCACCATTGGTATAGGCTCTGTTCTTGCTTATAAGGAGAAGAAGATCTATGAAGCCAACAATTTGATTGAGGCTATTACAGAGAGATTAGATCTTGGTTATAAAACTGAAGCGATTAAGAGTATGATTTATTATATTACTGATGGGGAATTTGGACAAGGTGAGTGGTTCCCGATTTTGATTGGGGCGTGTTGTTATGCTGTGGTGAGAAAGGAAGGGAAAGGTGTTTTGTCTATGGAAGAGATTGCTTGTCAAGTTGGATGTGATTTGCATCAGTTAGGGCCTGTGGTTAAGCGTGTTGTGGATCATTTAGACTTGGAATTTCGAGAGATTGATCTTGTGGGTTTGTTTACCAAGACGGCGACTAAATCACCGAGATTGACTGATGTTGGTAGGGAGAAAAAGGAGAGGATAACAAAGCAAGGAACTTTTCTGATGAATTGTGCATTGAAGTGGTTTTTGTCGACGGGGAGGAGACCAATGCCTTTGGTTGTGGCTGTTTTGGCGTTTGTTGCTCAAGTGAATGGTGTGAAGGTAAAGATTGATGATTTGGCGAAAGATGCTCGTGTTTCGTTGACTACTTGTAAGACGAGGTATAAAGAGTTATCTGAGAAGCTTGTGAAGGTTGCTGAAGAGGTGGGTTTGCCTTGGGCGAAAGATGTAACTGTGAAGAATGTTGTGAAACATTCAGGGACTTTGTTTGGTTTAATGGAAACCAAGTCCAGGAAAAAGAGAAAACTAGGGACAGGGAATGAATTAGTTAGAACTGATGGATTTTGTGTGGAGGATATAGTGAGGGACTGCCTAAGCAAAGAATCTATGTTTTGTTATGATGATGGTGATGATGATGATCGTCAAGATACTATGTCTCGGTATTTTGATGTAGGAGGTGAACGTCAGCTTAGTTTATGTAACAACGATGGTAATATATCGGAGAAACAGTTGTCTACGAAGTATAATGAATTCGTGGATCGAGTTCGTGGTGGGACTCTTGCGAAAAGAAGTCAGGGAAATAATAAGAGTATGTGGCAAAGGAGATCAGTTTCCGAGATGTTTTCAAGTGAATATTGGTGGAAAGGCAAATCGGAATTGAGTCGAAGGGTTTTGCTCAAGGATTTGTTGGAGAAAGATGTTGGGCTTGATGCTTTGCCTCCTTCTTACATAAAGGGTTGCGTTGCAGTCGAAAGACGAAGAGAAAAGATTAAGGCAGCTAAGTTACGGATTAAGACCATACAACATCCTTCTGGCATTGTTAGTGAAGGTGCGTTGTCTTTGGAGCTTGAACATAGCAAGAAGAAAAGGAAGAAAGGATCTGAAATTGATTGGGAGGATTTGGTTATCCAAACTCTGGTCTTACACAATGTGAATGAGGAAGAAATCGAGAAAGGTCATTACAAAACTTTGGTAGAGTTGCATGTTTTCGACTCCGGAGAGATTTGAATTGAAACGCTTTACTTGTAATTTTAAGAACTGAATCAATTTTTTTATTTTTTACAGTATAATTAATTAAAGATATAAAAATCGTTGGGCATGCAGAAATTATCAAAGCAAGCATCACAAGACAATTCAACATTCCATGTAAATGTTTCTCTGAAAATGATTAATAAGATAAACTACTTGTTTCTTAATAAGCCTTGAAAAAAAACCATTAAAGAAAAACAAGTCTAAAACTGCTTATGACTGACTACCAAATCCATTTCATTGATCTCTCTGATGATTAGAAGTTTCCTCAGCTTGTTGTATTAATCAGCCTGACATGCCATAATCTTCAACATGATCATAAAGGTTGTAACTTTCAGACAGTCCCATCTTTCCAACAAGATGCTCATCCCCTACAAACACAAATCACAAGAAATTATCTGAGACAGACACAACTCACTTGACCATTTCTTTGAAGCCAATGTCACGTGTGAAGTAAAAGGGTATTTTTGTTACTTACTTGGGTTTGCTAGGACACCTAACAAGTGAAGATCTGAGCTCATCTCAGGGCTCTGGAAGCAAAGATCTTCAGGCCTAGGAGTAGTTGTTGTTGTTGTTGACCCTAACACATTATTGTTGTTATTTCCATCTGGAAGACTAAGAAGACTCTCTGGCCTTACTCTCTTCTCATTTAATGCCTCAACTTCAGTCTCCACCTCAGACTCACCATTATTGTTTCCAGAAGAACCTCCACCCTGCTGCTTCCTCTTGGATCGAGCACGTCGGTTCTGGAACCAGTTGTAGACATTTTGTTCAGCAATCTCGCCGTGTTGGCTCAGCTCTTCTGTTATCTCTTTGATCTTCTGCTTGCTCGGTGTTCCAGTGCCTTGGTCGAATATACGCTCCAGAATCTGAAGCTGGACAGGCGTAGGAGTCCACCTCTGTCTAGCTGTCATCTTGTGACCTATAGATGACATCATTGGGTCTGCATATAGACCTCCCAATCTCCCTCCTGTTACCAAACACATAAAAATGAAGCAGAGTTGTTGAAAGTTAAACTACATAAAAAAAAAAAAAACTAAAACTTTATCTCAAGAACACATCATCAAGCAAAAACACCTTTTTTGGTGGGAAATTCTCAAGCTCAATTGAAGAATTCAAAGGAGCGATTCTAGAATTCCCCAAGAACCATTACTCTTAGCACAAAAATCCACGAAAAGAATTGGCCTTTGAGTCCGATTTAAGCCAACAAATGATTAAAAGGCAGAGAATTTTCAATTACTCATTCACCAAAGTGAAGAAAAATCACTAAAAATCAATCAAATCACACAAAAATTCTGAAATTTTGTTAATCTGTATGTGAACAAAGAAGAAGAAAACTAAATGATAGAAGAAAGAAAGAAACCTGCAAGATCTTGTTGAGCAGTGAGAGTTTTGTGCATCTCAACAAGACGCTCACAAATGGTGCCGTAAATAGCAATCTGTTTCCTCAAAGTTTCATACTGCTCATCGGTCATCACCTTCACGTACATTCCTCCTCCGGCGCCGGAGCCGCCATTAACATCGATCCCTTGAAGATTAGAAGAGTGATGGTTATTGGGCTGTTGCTGATTATCCCATTCCATCATCTCTTTTGTCAGAATTTCGCTCAGAAGATTTCTCTCTTTTTTTTCTCTCTTTCTCTGTGTGAATGAAGGAAACAGAGCAAAGTCAGTGCTTTTTCGGGAGTAGAAGGAAAGGTAAAGGCAGAAAAGGACAAAAAAAAGCTTAATTTATATTATTATTTTTTTCGTTCTATGTATATTGAAATTATAATATATAGTTTTTATTACAAAGGAAAAATAATAAGAAGAGGACGGTAATGATCATTAAAGGAAACTATTTAACCAACGGTTATTTAGTTTCTATATTGGAATTTGACCGTTTGAGATTTTTTTTTCTTTTTTTTCGTTTGAGAATTTATACGTAAACGGCTACTTCCATATCTGAATATTTACATTACCTTAGTTTAAATGTTATTTTGATTTATAGTTTGAGATAGCCGTTGCTATTTATATTTATGGAAATAATATGCTGTTGGATGCAATCGACTTGATACATATATTTATAGCTAGTTCAGTAGTTTGATCGCATCAATGAAGTAGATTGTTAGTTTTTATAGTCGTTGGTTGGTTCTTTTCAAGAAACTGAATTACTATATTGTTCAAAGAAAATTCTGTATCCATTCTTTACGTTATGTATTTTGTTTACACCAAAAAATGATGAAAATGGAGTGTTTTCTGTCAAAGCGATTTTAGACAAATGGTTTGATCGAAATCTATAGCCAAATAATCTGATATTAAATCGTAAACCTCTGAAACTACTAGCAGCTCCCAAGTCCCAAACACTTTTAGCTCTAATATTCATAACAATGTCGTGACATATAAATTTATAAATGATGTATGAAAAGCTTGCTTAGCTTTTTCCAGTTTTTTCCTTTTGCTTTTTTAGTCCAATTCGTGTTATATTCTTTGGTCAACAGTCAAATTGGTATTACACAACTTTTAAATATGCGATAAAGAGCACTTTGTGGCAAAATAAATAAAACTTTTAATTTCCTCTTTTTCTGACCGATTAACTGACATTCCGTTGATTGATAAATTGAGGTTGCGATCTAACTTTTCTGACACATCCCAGATTATATTTTTTTCTCAATTATTTAGCTTCACCGTCTTTTGCAATCCCTATCATCTAATTCAAAATTAAGAAAAACCGTTATAGAAATGAGAAATACAAAAAAATTGCTAGGCCAGTCAGACTTGTGAGTTAAAGGAGTTGTGACCTCCCAAAAAAAAAAAGTTAGGGAGCAATATAATAGTTTCCACGTGTCGTTTAAACAGTAGAATTTGTAGGTGGTCGGTGTCCGCCGCCCATGTTCCACGGGCACTTTAGATTTTAATATGATCTAATCTGACTCATTAATTGCCAAAAACAAAAGAAAAACCAATGAAATTGACCTCTATATATATATATAGGATAAAATAAACCAGGCCAAACAATGAAATGTGACCATGGTCGACAAAAACATGAAAATAAAGAAAAATATAATACGATAATTGATAAAAATAGCATCAAAAAAAAATTTCTTCTAAAATTATCACATTTCTAAAATTTTATAAATAGCACTCTAAGCTTTAACTAAATAGAAAATGAGAAAAAACACTAAGTT